GAGTCATTTTATCCCCTTCTGAGGAACTCAGAAGAAAAAAAGAGAAAGACAGACTTAGAAGGGAGCTGCAGCTGGAAAAAAATTTGCCTAAAATTAGAGGATTTGAAGTCAAATGTTCCTAGTAGGGTCTCCAAGGAACCCACAAAAGAGCCTAAGGGAAACAGCTTAAAAAAGTCTACCTGGCCCAGAATGTGAGAAGCCTTCTTGCAACTAATCAAATAAAGACATTTTTTGCATCCTTCTTCCCCTAATTTGGACCACGAAGTTGTTGCAAACTTTTGATAGCAAGATGGGAAGTTGGGGTGAAGTGTGAGGCTAAGGAAAGAGGAAAACATTTCGCCTTCCTCCTAGGTGAAAAGTAGAGTTTTAATTTGAAATTCAGTTAAAAGTTGATTATCACATGGGATTAGGAGTTATTAAATAATGAATTAAAACAATACTTGCCACTTAAAAGAACCATATTTTATATTATTTTAAGCAGAGTTCTCAGCTTTGGCACTACTGATATTTTAGGTTGGACAGTTTGTTTGTTTGTTTGTTTATTTATTTATTTATTGGAACAGTTTTGTTCTGTGCAAGAGGAGCAGTATGTTGAGAAGTTTCCCTGGCCTCCACCCATAATGTGCCCGTAGCAACCCCTCTTTAGTTGTGACAATCAAAAAAGTCTCCAGACACTGCCAAACGTCTCCTGGGGGAAGAAAAGGGAAACAATAAACACACTTTGACCACCTACTACATACTGAAGGGAAAAGTTATAGGACCTGCCTAAGTTCTCATTTATTGGTGGTGAAAGACTGATTTATACACTTAGAAAATGTAAAGGAACTGTGAAAAGTAAAAAATTTAAAAAAAAGAAATACAACTATTTTAATAAAATACATATCTGATCTATCATGTATTTGCTATTTTTTAAATAAACTGCCTATAAAATTACAACCACTATTACATAAGAAGGGTCAATATGTCTATCATTTGAAAAGGCTGGAAACCTCTGCTGCAGACTAGAGGTTCCCAACTATTGTGCCTGACAGAAGATTATATAGAGTGTGAGCTATGGATGCTATAGGGGTTCAGGACAAGCCATCCCAAGACGTCTTAGTGATATGTGGATTATTTTGAGCTAAAGGCAATTTAGACCTTGTGGGTTCAAGAAAGACTTTTGATCCACCCTTAATATCCAGAAGAATTTAAATTAGGAGCCTGGCCCATGATAAGAATTACTATCAGAAATGATTTCTTACCTACCTACATGGCAGGGGAAACTAATAATTACTGAACATGCGCCCTCCTTGCAATTACCTTCTGAAACCCCAAGGCGCGCTACCTCATCTCTAGCTCAGAAATGTCTTGTATACTAAATCCCCCTCTGAACCTCTCATGTATGTGGGGTTTCCGACTCTCTCAAATATCCGGGGTTTCCTTATGTATGTATTTAAATTCAGTCATTTTCTCTTGCTAATCTGTCTCATGTCTATTTGATTATTAGACCAACCCAAAGAACATTGAGGTTAGAGGAAAGATCCTTCCTCCCCACAATGTCCTCAGCACTCAGGGTAATTGAGGAGGAAGACCAAGGCAGCCTGAGACCCTGGGACACTTGCTATTGGCTATGTATAGTCTTATCCACTTACTCTAGTAAGCCATACAAATATCATCATTTTCTACATGTACCTGAACTTAAAAAGATTTGAAAAGCACTGGTTTAGGTCTATGCTTTCCCATATGGTAGCCTAGTCATTTGAGGCCATTGAGCACTTGAAATGCAGCTTGTGCCACAGGTTGAAATAATAATGTTTTAGATATTTTTGGTTGAATAAAATATATTATGAAATATAACATGTTACTAAAATTTATTTCTTGTTATTTTTTAAAATGAGGCTAATAGATTTTAAATTACACATGTGGCACAATTATATTTCTGGATAATGCTGCTGGATGATTAAAACACACACACACACACACACACACACACACACACACACACACACAAATTGGCCACCTACTACATACATGGCTGGATTTAACTGTTGTGGATAAAGCTGCATACATCTTGTGTAATTATAATACAGCATGTTGAAGAGTATAAAGTACAAGAGACTAAGAGATCTTAGAGGAGGAATTGATCTCCGGTCATACTGGAGAAATAGCAAGTACTATTAGCAACAATTGTTTTTACAGGACCATGAATATCAGGCACTAACTGATTCAAAGTTGTATGATTGCAAGATTTATTCTTAGCATCTGAATATACTGTGCTTACATGATATTCTATCAATTTTCATCTGGGTCCATTCATTGCCATGATCACCAGTCATATGTGATCTGCTTCAACTTATAACTTATAAATTATAGCCCCATGGGTCTGAGTTCTAGTATTGGAAACTGAAGGAATACTTATTTCTTTCAGAAAAAATCTGCCTCAGGGTAATTTGGGGTCTCAAGTCTGCCTTTGAAATGATATGGAATAATCAATCTACATTTTCACAGGTTACCAAAGGTAATATTTTCTATTTCTAGTCTCACCTCAAAACCTTTTCATTTTCTATGACAGGATGTCAACAAACACAGGGCCAAAAGAGGTATTTTTTTCCTGCCAATTCGGAAATAGTAAAAATGATGTGATTAGGAAGTACTTTGCAAATTAAAACACACACGGTATACATGTGAGGTTATGAAAATAATTATATAGTAAATTACTTCTTTTTGGAACCCCTTAGGTACTCTGGTGATAGTATTCAAATGTATATATTATATTGTTTTCAATACTACTATTTGGCTTTGCATATGAGAAATATGTGTAAGGTGTATTGGTTTTTCAAAGAAAATGAAGATATAATTTTAAATATTTTATCTTGTTTCCTTCTTATACACATTAAGAAACTAGCAGAGACTGGTATCATTATACAGTTTTAAGAGAGTCAGACTCTCCAAAGTTGCCTATAATGCTGACTTTCCCGAAGACAGACTAGAGCATCAACTTCCATTTCCTGATGCCATAAAATAATTGTCCTCAGATGAAGAGTTAAATTACAAGGCTTTTGCCATCATTCATTTCGCTCATTTTGTTCTAAGACAAGCAATGTAGAAGTTAAAGTCAATAGATGACTGTAATATATGGCTTACTTTTTATTAACCAAATAACTTGAAAGCACTGTAAATATAAACTAAAAATGTAAAAAGCATATGGGTATAAAGCAGAGTCCATCACTGGATCCCTGTGAACACTAAAAGTATTTGAATATTGTGGGTTTACAAACTGATTTTAACAGCCAAACTTATAAAATAGCTTACACTTTTCTGTTGTCGAGAGAAAAACTTGCCAAATTGTTCATTTTAAGTAAATAAGACATAACCAATTAAGGAAAGCAAAATTTAAACACATGCCTATGATAATCAGGACATAGTTTGCTTCTGATTTCACTACTGATTTTAACAGAACAGTGTTCCTTCCATTTTCCCACAGCACCCAAGTGACCCCACACATACTTTTAGAAACTTGTAATCACACAGTGCAAATAAAAGGACACTTTACTGGAAAAT